TACTATTAGTTTTATTTTGAACTGTAATCAATAGCAGGCATTTTTAGGATTACACAACATAAAATATAATCTAAGAATATGGAATTTTGTAGCTGTGGCACTAAAAAAACTGATATAAGGTGTCAAGTTTTACAAAATTCATAAAAATGACTATATCTCAAAAACTAACGATTTTTTACTAAGGTCATGTTTTGATTTTCTGGTTGGTCATGAGTTGGTCCATCATTCCTCCAAAGGATATCGTTGACTTTTGGGACACCCTGTATTAACACACAAATACCACAGTAAAAATCACAAAAAAATAAATAAAAATATTCATGTTTTTTATGGTTCAGTCAAAGATTAAATATACTCTTTCTATATTCTATATAGTATATTTAATCTTTGGTTCAGTGTTAAATCGTTGAGTTTCATAAACCTACTGTGCTTGTACATTATTATTTTGTTGTGCGGTTGTGCCTTTATTAATCTAAAAATAATTATTTAAGATATATAATAATATATAATATATTATATTTTTATTATTTAGATTCTGAAGTGCTCCAAAAACGCGAGACTCGGGCCTGCGGTACCATGGGCCTCACCTTCATGAATTGTCACGAGCTTCCTTGTAGTGTAATATACTATTTACGGCCCACCCTAATGTACAAGCTTTTTAAATGAAAACACTTTAACAATGTTATTACATTTCTCAAAATTGGACTGAATTATTATAATTTTACATTTAAATGTAAATTTACATACTTGTAGAACAGAATTAGAGTATATCCATAAATATCCATTGTATACAAGTTTATATTCCTATGTATTAAAGCTTCGTTTTCGAGATACAGGTTGGTAAAGTTATTAAAAAAATATTTATTTTTACAAAAAATTCTGCTTTTTATATTTTTTGCAATGGATAAAGGGCTTAATTTAATTTAGTTAATACAGAGGCGGCGCTGGGGCATCCCAACAAGGTTTTTAAAAATAAAATTTGGGTAGGTACGCTACTGCTATTAAAAATACAACATTTTTGTCTAAGACAAATTAAGGAGTGATTTTTCAAAAGGCCGTATTTCCATTTTTTCTTAAATTTAATTTTTCTACAAAATCACAAAGGTATGGTTAAAGGGCATATTAAATGGTGAATATGTTGCATAAGATGTTGAATGTCAAGAATATGATAAAGAAGTGATGTGTTTATATAATGAGGCAGAGATGGATATCCTTAAAATATAAGCCTTACATATTTTTCAATATTGTTAGCACAATTAAGATATTTTTCCATATATTTTTTTAAAACAGTAGGTATTCAATAAAAAAAGTAATATTTCCAAGTTTTTACACAGCAAAAAGGCACATTTCCAAAATGATTTCATACAAAAGGTCTTATTTCCAAATAATTTAAAAAAAATACCATTGCTATAAATATTTAATAAACCACCAATACGACAGCAGGTTTGAAGTAGTAGTATACATTTATCAATTTTGTTTTTAAATAATCTATATCGCCTTAACCTACACACGTTATATTCGTTTTTTGAAAATGGAAATACGACCTTTTGTAAAAATCACTCCTCAATTGTCTTCTGCATTTTTACTTTTTCTTGTTTAATTTTAAAAAAATCAAATTTGCTTAATCGCTCGCCCCTGGAGAAATTATGGTCAAGAGCGGATAAACGAATTTAATTTTTTTCTTGAAAATTAAACAAGATAAAGAAAAATGCAAGAAACAAAAAAATGTATTTTTAATTGCCTAATCTAATAATTATTATAATATCAAACAGTGGTGTGACCATACTTTTTCAAAAACTTTAACACCCTATATACAGGGTGTCTCAGATTTTAATCGAGAAAATTTAATATTCAATAAGTATAGTTTACCTACAGCTTTAAACTTTATAATTAAAATTATTAAAATTAAAATTATTAAAATCTGAGACACCCTGTATATATCTGACTTTTATATAAAGTTAAGTTTTTAAAAGTATACATGGAATTTAAAATATATATATATATAATAATTATTGTAGCCTGCTTGACCTTTATGTATATTTATGTGTATTTATATTATGTATATGTTCTTCAAATGGAGATACTACCTTAATACCACTGGCGTCTGGTGGATTTTGCATATGCCATATCTCATTCATTAGACATGGGACCCACACCAAATTTATATGAGTTTATAATGACACTAAATTAAGAAGTTCTGCGCAAGCAGAATTTAAATAGAAGTTTGCGAAAAAAAGTATTACAGATTTTATTATATTTTTTTATTATTTTAGGAAAAGTAATACAAATTTAAAATAGTATAAACTCTGTAATATTTGGATTTTTTAAATAAAATTTGTCAATAAACTATGGTAAATTATAAATTGCATCACTGTGCCAGGCTGCAGGGGAGATGCAGCAAAAACTATCTTTTTTTCGCAAACTTCTAATTAAATTCTACTTGCGCAGAACTTGTTAATTTAGGGTCATTATAAACTCATATAAATTTGGTGTTGGTCCCATGTCTACTAACTGAGATATGGCATACGCAAAATCCACCAGCCGCCACTGCTTAATCCATATTATTAAATTTTATTATTTTTACGAAAAATATGTTCATGTTATCCACTTATATAATTAACATTTCGTACACGAACGCATTCTTCTGGGAAATATTAAATTTGCTCAAGCACGATCATTATTTAAGATTTAAATATAGGTACAATTTTAGAATAGTACATTCTGTAACAAGTTTGGAATACAGCATATTCCGCTCGAGGAAAAATTTGACACACGAGCCGAAGGCGAGTGTGACGGTTTTACGAGAGTGGAATATGCTATTCCAAACGTGTTTCAGACATTATTTTCTCTACGACTACGTAAGAATAGTAACGCTTAAAAGAAGAAAGCAGTTTTTGACATTTAAGTTTTTTGTATTGTCAAACCATTTTGTGCCGTCACAATTTTATAATGTAAATTATAATAAATTTAAACAAATGGTATGCCTAAATCTTTATTATAATTAAAAATAGTTATTTACACTAACTAATAAAAAAAATAACATTGTAACAAATACAAAACTAATTTTACAAGTAATCTATGTCAACATCTATTCTTTTTCTACATTTTAAAGGTCTTTTTTTAAACTTTTTGAATCTGTCAAAACTTCAAAGCCGGTATAGTAGGTAACTGGTTTATTATTTTAATATCAAATTTATTATAATTTTGATTTGTATATTTGAAAAACAATAAATATAACTAATTTTTTGGGCCTAAACCTTAATTATACAACTGCTATTATTTTTTAATTAATAAATAATACAGTAATATTTAAATCTTTTTAAATTTTTTACGTTTAGTAAACAGCCAGGAGATGTCGTTACTTGTGACCATTCTTAAACAAGAGTGGGAATATTCTCGCACAGTATTGCAGAAAAACATCCTTTCTATGATCAAAAAGTACACTAGAATGTTACTATTCTTAAGTAGTCGTAGAGAAACAATTTTTTCAATAAACATTCAAGGGTATATTCCCTTTTTTACGTAGCAAGCAAAAAGGTAATCGGTATCAATCTTCCACAAAAACCTTTTAATATTAAAAATAGCCTTTTATATTTTATAGGTATCATTATATTTATTTCTAAAGAATTCAAAAAAACACAATTTTTACATTTTATTATAGGTATTGCGGTTAATAATAAGTTTTGCACCATGCACGCGTATGTTAAAAGGTATAAAAGCTTGAAGTAATGCAAGTTACCACTTTTTGTTTATTTTTTAAAACCAAATGTATAAAAAAACATTAATATTTGTTTAAATTTCTTTATGTTAAGCTAGATATATTTTGAATTTTATTATCTGAAAATAAAATTATTGATGGATAAACTTTTAGAATTAAGTGTCGTTGTACTACCATATTTAAGTCAAGTAGGTAACTGTCAAAAAGAAAATAGTAATTAAATATAATTATTAAATTTTACAGTAAGTTACCTAAAATGGGAGATTAGAAAAAAAGTGCTCTTTTAGTTACACCATTACTTCTAAGTCTAAGCATAAGCCAACTGAATGGCTTGTGCGGGTTAGGGGTAGGAACGGACCGCGGGCTTAGTCCCCTCCGAAGGAGTATAAAATAAAAATAACAGTTTGTTTGTTATTTTTAAGGGTTAAGGTTTTATTAATATTTTTATTCAAACTAGGTCGTAGGCCCTGAGCACTGTCAAGTGCACTGCTATGCGCTAAGTTTAGTTAGTTTTAAGAAAATTACTTCGAGTAAACAGCATACCTACATAAACATAGACTTGCCATAAAAAAATGTTAAATTAAAAAAGTACGTTGGCCGAAACTTCAGTCATGATGCGGACAATTTTAAATTAATTTAAGGATAATTTTGGCAATGTCATTTAATATTGTATATAATTTCATTTAATTCAACATGTGGTAGGTTGTCAAATTTAACCCAATTAAATAAACCAACACCCGTAATAACGTTAAACAATCCTCAAATATGCGCAAATAAATAAACAAAACACCGTCGCTCAATTAAAACTAAACAAACAAATTAAGATAACGAAAAACTTACGGAAATCTTTTTTAACGTCGTTCGTAAATCGAACATCGAAATTTTCTCTGGGCTTTTCCGGCAAAAAACAATGTGTTACCGCACGGAAACGCAAACTACCGCGTCAAACCTCCGTTTACTGCACAGAAACCGGCAGGTTTTGGTCTGACGAACTACGCGAAGAAGCTGAGGTTGCTATGGTTACAGCCGGGCATTACTGCATTTTAGCCCTCTAACGGACGATAGCCCCAACCAACGCAAACTTCAATTTACAGGAAACTGTAAAGCAATAAACCCCCTTGATTAATATGATATATACAGGTTTTAAAGCTAATTTACCAACATATTAATTTATAAACTTAAATAATATATAATTTATTTAAATATTATTTAGGGTTTTTTAATTATACATGTTGGTTTTATGCTGGCTTCATAGGTTGGCAACCGTTGGCTCTACTGTATTTTAAATGTTTAAAAGTTAACCAACGTTAACGTTCTATGTCTAACGTCAAAAGTTGTTTTGACTCAAAACTTGTTAAATTCTGAAGGTCATGATTGAAAACCCCAACTATATATGAGAAAAAGCTAGTGTTTTATGCTAATTTATAATTGTTTAAAATGGATTTTGATATATTATTATCAGACTTCAATAATGCAGATGAAACAATAAATTTTGGCACTCGTAACTTTGGAAGCCTAACCAATTTGTATGAAACATCAACTTTGGCATGTTTAAGAAATCGTGAAAAAAACGTAAGTTTTAAATTTTAAACTCTTAAGCAATACAATATATAGCTGTATTATTCCAGGAAATTCCACTTTCCTTTGTTGATAACAACGTTAGCATTTTATCGACTATTAAACATGGAAGAGTGTATTTGTGCATAAACAGATCCTTTCGAGCATTTGAAAATAAGGAATGTATAGGTTTAGGATTTGAGGCAGTTTTTGAGGACCTCATAAATGCTTTTGCTTTGAGTGATGATGGTAAATTTTTGTTAATATGTCTTCAAAATGGCAAAGTACATTTGATTAATTTTGGATCTGAAGAAACTAAGTGTATATTTAGCAAGTATGACCTATTTTTCATATTTTTTATATATCATTGAAATTTTGTTTTTTTAGGCATTTAGTAGAGCCTAATGTTTGGATAAATGATTCCTACATCAATTGTTTTAGTGAACCAGATATTGCCAAGTAAGTTAACTGTTTACATGTTTAATATATCTCTTGGAACATAATATTTTTTATGTCTACCACATTAAAAAGTACATTAATTTACATGGAAATCCCATCCCTTGGTGAGATTTGGTGAGTTGTGGTAGACTCCCACCTATACTCATGAGATTCTAGCCATTAAACTTTCTCTGAAGACAATATAATTATTATATTATAATAATAACCCCTAAAGAGTAATACATTTTTTTTATTAATTTTTGTTTACAAACTTAAATTATATACAATGTGATTCATTTAAAGGTTAGGGAGAATGGAAAAAGATATCAATGTGAAATTTTTATAGCAATTATAAGGCAATGTAAACTATTTTTAAAATTATTTTCAATGCGTTATCACTTGATCTCAGTGATTTTAAATGGAACCATGTAAATATTATTGCATTTTTTAGTTCCACATAAAATTCTAGAACCACTGAAATTCAGTTTTGGAGATATTTTTTTTTAATTTCGAAAAATTTCAAATTTCATTTAAAAAATCCAAAATATACAGATTTCATACCATTTTAAATTTTTAATATTTCTTTTCAAAGAAATAATAAAAATATAAAATGATATAAAATGTGTATTATTTGGATTTTTTAAATAAAATTTGAAATTTGTTGACAAACTATAGTAAATAATAAATTGCACCAATTAAATTTATATTATATTTATTGGGGGCGCCGGTACGGCCAAGCAAAAAGTTCAATTTAAATTCTGCTTGCGCAGAACTTGTTTATTTAATGTCATTATAAACTCATATAAATTTGGTGTGGGTCCCATATCTAATAACTGAGATATCGGTATACCCAAATTCCACCAGCCGCCACTACGCCACCACGTGTATACTATTTTTCTTCATACATCGGTCGAAAGTACGTACTTTCGTCCCTAATAGCGCAGGGAGTAAATGTTAAACTTTCGTCCCTGCTATTCACAGTCTGTGCTGCTATTAGAGACGAAAGTACGTACTTTCGAACAAGGTATGAAGAAAAAACGTTTATGTCAGTAGTGTGCATTGGATTGTCTTTTATTTAGTATTTATGATGTAATGTCAATGTTAACGTCTTTAACAATAAAATTTTTGAATATATCGCACATGGGCGACAACAGTGTCATAAGTCGAAAAAATGGAATTTTGGGGTTTTTAGTGCAATAAGTGTAAAATTACTCATAGTTTATGCTGCAACAGTGGCAAAAAGATATTTTTGAAATTAATACCTAGATGGAGACTTGTGTCTGTTTGCAATTTGTATAATCCCTATTATAATTTTCATCAACAGTGTCATAAGTAAGTTGGCTGTAAGTTGTGACATTTTGGTAGCGTAGGTTAGTAAAATTAAAGTTGTCAAAAATAAAAGAAAGAAGAAGTGAGGCTCCTCACCTTAAGGCAAACGGTCGTGTGTCTAGGGTCTCGTTTAACGCGTTCGTACTTTCATAGTGCTACCACCGCTATCGGTGTTCAAATTCATAAAATCAATTAATGATTCTACACGTGATCTAACAAAACCAAGTGCAAAAAGGGTAAAAATTGCGTGTGGATTCCTGTAAAAAGGGTGTGTGAAGTGGTTGGATACAACGAATAATTTTTCCTGGATTACCAACACAGAAACAACACGTCGGCCATTCCAAGCCCATGGACAGGACACATCAAAAACATGTCTAAATATATTCTTATTACTTCCTTAAGTTTACTTATTTTTTCTACGAGTATTTATGAGAAGTATTAGCCAAAGAATATATTTAGACATGTTTCTGATGTGTCCTGTCCATGGGCTTGGAATAGCCGACGTGCTAATAGTTGGCTGTCGAGGAATAATTTCACAACACCTGCCTGTGAATGCACCTGAAGTCCAAGTCTGCATAAACCGGATAAGTAAACCTACCAAAATTGGATGACCTTAATAATACTTAAAAACTAAATTTTAATGCAAAATTCGCACATATTTTCAGCAACACATATCTCTTATTCAAAAAGAGTATTTTGCAAAGAAAATACTGTAAGTCAGGGGCGTAGCTACCACGGTATCAGCCGTATCAATGATACGGGGCCCCCGGCTAGGGGGGGCCCGATTGGCTTCGCAAAAAACATATTACCCACATGTTAAAAAAATTGAGGCATTAAATGAATAAATAATATTATTTAATTGTTTATTCTTCGATTTATTAAATTAAAATGTTCCAACGAGGCCGTTAACTCATACGAAATGTTTCTGTCCGTACCTTTCCGCTATGCGTTGTCTGCGGCGCAGTCTGCGCATATTGTTCTGTGCTCTGCGCCGCATACTGAGTCTGCTTTGGGTGTTATTATCATAGGTTATATTAATAGCAAATTAGAAATAATTATTAGCGTTGCAATTATTTCAAATGACATGCCTTTATTTTAAAATAGAAACCTTTTAAAAGAACGGTAAATGTCTAAAACCAGACCAAATTTTAAAATTTGCCTGTACATAAAAAGCTATGTATACATGAATATATATATATATATATATATATACCAGCGATGGTACCTTATACGTTTAAGGAGAACGGCTGAGGATATTAATTTGAAATTTTTATAGCAATTATTGTACAATTTAATCTACCTTTTAAAATTATTTTAAATAAAATTCCTCTTCCGGTTGAACCGGAAGCGACATCAACTTTGTTATTTCCAATGGAACACCCTGTAATTTTTTTTATTTTTAAATTCCTAATGAAATTCTTAATGAAATTGCTGTACCATTCCCTATACCTAAACTTAATAGTTTTCGAGTTAATAATTTTGTTCGTAAAATTTTGACAGTTGCACCTTCATTAAAAATAGCTTATAACTTTTTTGATATTCGGTTTGCTGGTATGCTGTAAGGATTTTTGGAACCTTAAAACATTGTTTTAAAGATTCCATGTCTAAAACTTTCATATTTATGATCAAAAACCAGAGAAAAATCGTGTTAAATTTAGTTAACTTCAAACATTAATAACTTGTTTATTTTCAATGGAACGGTATGCATGTTTTTACATAATCAAATAGGAAAATGAATTACATTTTGATTGTTATAACCATTCCCTATACCTAAATAGTAAGGTTTCGGAAATACAAGCAAATTTCTGTAAAAATCCAATTTTTTGACATATTTATCTCAGATACCGATGAAATGTCACAACAAATTAGTTATGTCATTGATTGACAGTTGATACATTTCTTAAGGAAGATATTTTAAAAATAATGGAAAACAACAATTAAACAAAGTTTTAAGAATTTAATTATTATAGGTAAATTATAAAAAACGTGATGGAAAAAATAACATCCAAAATACTATTTTAATAAATGTTCAAAATGGCGACCATTGACTTGCAAACATTTTAAAATGCGGAGCCTGGGAGATTCCGTTGTGACATTTCATCGGTATCTGAGATAAATATGTCAAAATATCGGATTTTTACAGAAATTTGCTTGTATTTCCGAAACCTTACTATTTAGGTATAGGGAATGGTTATACTAATCGAAATGTAATTCATTTTCCTATTTGATTATGTAAAAACATGCATACAGTTCCATTGAAAATAAACAAGTTATTAATGTTTGAAGTTAACCAAATTTACCAAGATTTTTCTCTAGTTTTTGATCATAAATATGAAAATTTCAGACATGGAATCTTTAAAACAATGTTTTAAGATTCCAAAAATCCTTACAGCATACCAGCAAACCGAATATCAAAAAAGATATAAGCAATTTTTAATGAAGGTGCAACTGTCAAAATTTTACGAAAAAAATTATTAACTCGAAAACTATTAAGTTTAGGTATAGGGAATGGTACAGCAATTTCATTAAAAATTTCATAAGGAATTTAAAAATAAAAAAATTACAGGGTGTTCCATTGGAAATAACAAAGTTGATGTCGCTTCCGGTTAAACCGGAAGAGGAATTTTATTCAAAATAATTTTAAAAGGTAGATTAAATTGTACAATAATTGCTATAAAAAATTCAAATTGATATGCTCAGCCGTTCTCCGTAAACGTCTAAGGTACCATCGCTGGTGAGACACCCTGTATATATGTATATTAGGGTGGCCCAAAAAAAAAGAATATTTTTTTTCTCTTGTCTCTTGTGAAAATATGTTGGTTTGTCATGTTTTAAGAGCCCTGTCAAAAGATCAGCTCCATTAAAAATTTTTTAGGGGTCGCTCATGATTTTTAAAAATTTCCAAAATCGTCAAAAATTGTATTTTTTTTTATTTTAATTTTTTTTCTCGTTCCGATATTATTTTTTAATTTAAAAATAATAATGATTCTGAAAATTTCAAATCGATATTTTGATTTCTAAAGGTCGCTCAAGATTTTTTTTAACTTTCAAAGTAATGTATTTTGAATGTTTTTGAGCGACCTCTGAATATAAATATCAACGAACTTTTAGCGACCTTTAGAAATCAAAATATTGATTTGAAATTTACAGAATTTTTATTATTTTCAACCAAAAAAATAATATCGAGACGAGAAAAAAAATTAAAATAAAACAAAAATTCAATTTTTGACGATTTTGAAAAGTTTAAAAAATCTTGAGCGACCCCTAAATTTTTTATAATCGAGCTGATATTTTGACAGGGCTCTTACAGCATGATAAACTAACATATTTTTACAAGAGACGAGTAAAAAACAATATTCTTTTTTTTTGGGCCACCCTAATATATATAAATAATTTGGTTGTTTCACTGTTAGCTAGAATGAGGTTTTTGGAAAGCCACCAGGTCTAGTAATAACATAACATAAGTGGTTCTGCACTAATGCAAGAATTTTAAGAAATCATCCATTTTTAATATTAGAGCTTCACGGAAGAGAGATTCACGGAGGTTAGGATTTCGTATGTTTTTTTTAACCTTTGTATATTTGAAATAACTTATTGTATCTTTTGACACCTTAATATTTTTAAAAAATACAATTGTACATATGTACATAAAATATTTATAAAAAACGTACACAGAGGTTTTTCCTTATTTA